CGTCGTGGCCTCCATCACCACAAACAAATCAAAACATGTCAACATCATGTAATGAAGCCACGTTTCATGTCAACATCAACCAATTCAGTGCTATTTATTTAGTGTTATTTCTAAGCCATTATAGTTTTTTATTAATAGTTTGATTTAGTTTATTTCAGTTTTTAGTAAGTTTGTTATGTGCTTTTTTAGTTTTATTATTATTTTTTTGCAATTCATTGTAATCAAGATCAAGATTTCAGGTTTTATTTTTTATTTCAGTCTTAGTCATTATTTATTTCATGTCTACATTATTGAGTGCAATGCAGTGTTATTTTAGAATTATTTATATATTAGTGCTGTCAAACGATTAATCGCATCCAAAATAAAAGTGTTTGTTTACATAATATATGTGTGTGTACTGTCTATATTTATTATGTATAATTACACACATGCATGTATATATTTAAGAAAAATATGTTTTTTTTTTTCACTTAAAATTATTCTAATTATTTTCCAGGGCAATACTTCCAATTTTCCTAGTTGTTCTAATAATTAATTTTATTTTATTTCAGCTTTATTTTAAATAACAAAAATGTTTTATTTTTAGTTAAAATAGCTTGAGTTAACAATAACAATCCTGATGCAATGAAGCAAAGCATCCAACAAACATATACTATGTGTTGTGCATAAATCAGCTACTGTAATGTGACGCACAAAGTTCAAGTAAACTTAACTTGGACTGTCCACTACTCAATCTGTTCAATTTGGACGCTGTGTTAAAAAACTGGACAGACCGCAAAAGAACGGAATTGAATGAAAAACAGCATGATTCACAGCCAGATGCATGCATACACTGACTAACTAGCAGAAAATTTATACTGAATAATACTTGGAATTCAACAGTATTTGTGTCAACATTTACTGCTAAAGGCAAATTCGTTCCAAAAGCGCTGGTTTGGCTGCAGCGCATGGGACAAATTAAGAGACGCATCGTCTCAGAGAGGGTTTTAGCACAGCCCAATGCTAAAAACCCTGCCAATAATTAATAGCCTGTAAAGCATCATCACTAAAAATATTAAAGCTTAGGCTACTTGACCATCCTGACCCGTCCCTAGTCGAGTGGAGCGCTGAATTGCTGATGTGAGTCATGTGAAAGGACCTAAAGGGCTAGTCAAAATCCAGCTTATACCACAAACAGCCCTCTCTGGTCAAGCCTGGCATTCCCGTTTCACAGCTGAGGGCACGACGCAAGCGGTGAGAGAGAGCATCAGCAGTATGAGTCACCAACATCAGCTCATAAAACTCAACAGCTTCTGTTCTGTCCTGCTTCCCAGCGTCACACGAACACACTGCCTACACACTCGGCCTGTTGCATGCTCGTTTGTGATGCTAATGGCCTTTAATTTCACGCCGCTGCATCTTGTACTTCAGGTAGCAGGAGCCTATGTGCAAACGGAGTGAATTATACTCCTTTCAATTGACTGTCAATGTGCCCGAGGGTGATTTCGACATATGACAGCCTCTCCTACACGCCATCGCCCACGCAGAGCTATGAAAGGCGCGCTGGTTATGAAAGGAACAAAACATCAGTCAGGATCTCCTCAGCTAGACGCTGCCTTCTAGGGATGCCAGATGCATCAGTGCATACCGAGTGCATACAAACATACAAATGTTGTGTTATCAGTCCAGTCCTTCCACAACAGACTGATAAACGCTCACATGCAAATTTGCATGTAAACTAGTGTGCACTTCTTGGTCAAAATGCCATTTAAGAGAGTTAAGGCTGCTCTGTGCCTGCACAAAATTCAGTTTAAAGATGCAATGCTGCATAAAAGCCAGACTAAATTAAGCCTGCTCTGGTCCAGCTTAGCTCCTAGTATCACAGTATACGTCGGTGTAATTGTTGTGCAAATGCATTCGTACAGTACCACCTCTTAGCAGCATTAAACAGAAGACACTATAATGCCACTTCAGAGGCGATTTTATGCCACCTTTGCAGTGTAAACTTGGCACTGATGAGGTATTAACTGCTAGTTAAGTGTCTTAATTGATTGCTCTGTGCCTGCTCAACATATTTTGTAAAGACATAACGCAGCATAAAAGTCACAATAAATTAAGCCTGCTCTGATCCACCTCAGCCCCTCGTATAAAAGCACACCGTTGTATTTGCTGTGTAAATGCATTCATGCCACCTCTGAGTGGCATTAAAAAACACCTACAGTAGATGCCACTTCAGAGGCGCTTCTGTGCCATCTTTGCAGCATAAGCTTGACATTTTTGAGGCATTAACAGCTCATTTTTGAGGTATTAACTAGTTATGTCTTAACTGAGTTAAGGCTGCTGTACGATTGTTAAAACTTCAGTATAAAAACACAATGCAGCATAAAAGCCAGAGTAAATTAAGCCTGCTCTGATCCACCTCAGCCCCTCGTTTGAAAGCATACAGTTATATTTGCTGTGTAAATGCAATCGTACCACCTCTGAGCAGCATTAAACAGTCACCTAAATTTATTTAATTAATCACAGCCTTTGCAATTTAACAAACACTAGGCCACATCAGACTGACTGTAAATGACAATGCAGTTAAATACCTGTAAAACTTCATGCTCAACTTCATGCTGTATTGTTTTACAGAATCAAAATGAATCATTTTTAGTTTTCCCAGCCCTGATCTGGGTACTGAAAACCAGCCTGGTCAAGTGGGTTCATCTGTCACATTGTCAGCACAGTTTCCGCTCACACTTTCTGTTTGTCCTTCATTCATCATGCATAATAAAACATGCAGGCCGCATGGAGCGACTGTACGGACGTCCGGGTAAACGACCCATAAATGCCAAAGATATTCCCACAGCATTCATTAATCAATCACTGCCCTTTAGGACTAAATATCTCATCTCAATCACACAGAAGTGCGTGTCAAGGACTTACAAGTAGTAAAGCATGACATTGCACAAAAGTACGCAGAGGTTTGGCCACTACGAGAATGCAAAATAAATTTAGAATGCAAATATACAAGTGTAAGCGATTCATCAGAGCAGGGTTATTATAGTAAACTAAAACTAATACCATACAAAAAACGAAACATTTTCATTACTTGAAATAAAATATTTTAATTGAAATTAAACAATACGTGACCCTGGACCACAAAACCAGTCATAAGGGTCAATTTTACGAAAATTTAGATTTATGCATCATCTGAAAGCTGAATAAATAAGCTTTCCATTGATGTATGGTTTGTTAGGATAGGACATTTGAATATTTGGATGAGATACAACTATTTGAAAATCTGGAATCTGAGGGTGCAAAAAAAAAATCTAAATATTGAGAAAATCATCTTTAAAGTTGTCCAAATGAAGTTCTTAGCAATGCATATCACTAATCAAAAATTAAGTTTTGATATATTTACGGTAAGAGATTTACAAAATATCTTCATGGAACATGATCTTTACTTAATATCCTAATGATTTTTGGCATAAAAGAAAAATGGATAATTTTGACCCATACAATGTATTGTTGGCTATTGCTACAAATATACCCCAGCGATTTAACACTGCTTTTGTGCTGCAGGGACACAAATATTAATGAAACCTTCAACTTTTTTTTATTTTAGCTAGTTGCCAACAGTTCTTATTTTCATTTAGTTTAACTTTATGTGCTAAAACTGAAATAAAAATGAATAAAAACTATACAACACATTTAAAAAATAAAATAAAAATGACATCTAAGAACATAAAAAAATAAAAACAAATTCAAAAAAATAACACTGCAAAGAGACAGTCAAGAGAGACAGCAATACTAGTAGTGCGACCATATCAGTTAACCAGACAGTCTACACTAGATAGTCACTAACTTAGTAGCCTCACAGAGGAGTGTCCAGTGTTTAAGGACTTCCTCATATTTGTGACGATTGCGTGTCTGGAAGCAGATAATGCAGACGGACGATGACAGACTGCTTCACGCAGAGCTGCAGCCTTTGACTCCTATTGTGACGTCATCGTGAGAAATCAGACACAAACGAGAAACACGTCACAGTGTAGCACCCAGAAATACCAAACCCACGTCTGTGTCACATTTTATTTCCATTTCACAGTCGGAAATAAGAGGCTAGGATTTACTTTAGGGCCATTCATTTTTTTAATGCATTATTACATTATTTTCATGACAATTAATGTCTGGATGCTTTCATTTTGAGTTTGCAATTCTCTACGATTATTAGTCATTACTGTGCTAAATCATGACAATGACTCAGGCCAGACACCACATATTTTTAAAAATATATAAAATATTATATATATTAAGATATTATAATATATAAAATAAATATATCAAAATATATATTTATTTACGCTTATTTTTTATATTCTGTTAAATTACTCTGTACAGTCATATTTTTTAAAGCAAATTAAACAGCAAATTTACACTATATAAAATAAATATATATTTTTTGTTCTTAATTATTTACATTTAGTCATTTAGCAGATGCTTTTATCCACAGATAGAACACAAAAAGAATAGAGATGCTAGTGTTACATTTTTTTTTAAAGAAAACAAGCAGTTAGTAAATGAATAGAGTGCAAGTCTAACACACACACACACCCACGGTGTTCCAAACCGACTTGATTTTCTTTATGCAACATACATTTATACATTTTATTATTTGCATATAGGACAACACAAACGTAAATTTATAATTCTACACGCACATTTCTAGAATTTAAGGAATGTAAAGAATGTGCAAGCAGAACTCTAAATTCTGTTTCTATTCTCACATCTACATGTCAAGCACACGGCCTGCTCGTATTACCAAACCAAAAACACGAGATATGACTCCCCCGCCGTCGGTTTGAGTCGCAGATGTCGGTGTTTGTGATGAACTGGATAGAGTTACAGTACTGAGGAGAGAAACTCTGCGGTGACGTCAGCGCGCGAGAGAACAACAAGCCCAGAAATGTCTGATTCTGACTTTTGGCGGACAGCGTTCAAAACACCTCAGAAAATAACGGTCGGAAGAGGCGCGTTACCTGCAGTTCGGCCCGCTCCACCTCCCATTGCGCCCGTTCCACCTCGAACCGGGCCCACTCGTGCTGCAGAAAGTGTAAAATCCCCGGGATACTGTACTGAGCGCGGGCCGTTTCTCCGTCGCCGTCGCCCGGTTGAAGCGCTTTCGCTCCGCCGGGAAGAACCGAGTTGTTGTTGTTGTTGAAGAACACACCAGGGCCCGCCTGCTCGTCCATGGCTAGGCCGGGAATCGGAGGTCTGATCGACCAAACGGACGCTGTATTTCGTCCGAGAACGGAGAACGGAGAACGGGGCGAGCGCTCGACTCACGGCGCGCTGCTGCTGCTGTCACTTCATGACGTTTCCGCTAGCGCTGGTCGAGTCGCGAGTGAATCGTTCTTGTGAGCCGATTCTCTGAACTGAACCAGTCGAACCGATCAGCGTGGAATGTGGAATGAAATAAACAGCTGACAAATAGCCTAACATGGATTCGGACTATGGAGGGCAAAATTACAAAAAAATTAAATCATGAAATAAATGTTGAAATATATAAATAAATCGTTAAATACATTATTAAATACATAAATAAATGCACAAATAAATAAACAAACAAATAAATATGTATTTATTATTTATTCATTTATTTCCTCCACATTCATTCATGACGTGTATGGAGGACGAAACCTGCAAAAACAATAAATAAATAAATACACAAATAAATAAATAAATACACAAATAAATACATAAATAATTAAACGTGATGAAAGTAGGCAAATAAATAAAATTGGTGGGCAAATGGAAAATGTTTAAGGAAATGCTTAACTCATCCTATTTATTTTCCTTTGATCACTCATTTATTTCTGAATGTAGTTCCACATTTATTTTTCCTCTGCACAACATGCTAATGAGAGGGTGTCAACCATGGACCTGCTCGGGTCTTGTGATAGCTGGGGGCGTGGCTTTCCCGCTGACAGGAGATGCATGGTGTAAATCCAGTATAGCCTAGTAAAGTCACTTTATCGCCGTTCAACAGAGCAAGATACATAGAAAAATTGAGCCGTATTGTCCGTACAGTATCTGTGACTTTACACATGACCCAACGGAATGGCCAGAGATGTCATTTCCCGGCATTCGATATTCGCAAATCTAGGGACCGTCTCTAAAGTTAAATACAACATTGGTATACACTTTTCTAACTTCAATAGCATTTGAGGAAAATTACTTACAGTAACACTACCAACTGTGAAGTGTTCATGTAGTTCTCGGTTATAATGCACACCTTTTAGATTTTTGATATTTATTTAAATAAACTGTAAATTCATATCTACACTGTAAAAAACTTCCTGTAGAAATTACAGTAACTAACTGACAACAGTTCGCTGTAAAAAAAAAAAAAAGAGATGTAAATCAGCTGAAGAGAACTGTAAATTGTGCCGACAACCGTAACCCTGAAAATGAAATGTGGAGGAATTAAATAATTAAATAATTAAATGAATGAATGAATATATATATATATATATATATATATATATATACAGTAAATGAATGAATTAATAAATAAATATTTATTTATTTATGCATTTATTTATGTATTTAAGTATTTAATTATTTAATAATTTTTTTATTTAATTTAATTTTTATTTAACGATTTATTTATATATTTCAACATTTATTTAATGATTTAATTTTGAGTAATTTGGCCCTCCATAGTGTAGTCTCTCAAAAACTGTCTATAATATTTATATAAGAATTAGAAAATGTTGTTTATTGCTTGTGTGTTGTCAGTTAATACGCAAAACTGTAAGGTGTAATGTTGAAAAAACAACAACATTCGGCAATATTTTTGAGCAGGTAAGAAATGTATTTATCAAAAACATAACTTTGTCAGAAGTCAGAAAGAGCTTTATAGCCAAGTATGTTTGCACGTACAAGAAATTTGTTTTACTGTCACAGTACATAGAGAAAACAACAACAACAACACACAGATAACAAAAAATAAGATGTATTTAGATATAAATAAACAAAATAATAGAAAAAAAAGAAAAATATATATAGTAAGTTGAAAAAAAAAAAATATATATTATAAACTTTGGATAAAATTACTTCCACTAAATACCTTAAATATATTAAACGTAAAATATTAAAACATTTATCAAGGTCTCAATGAAGCCTTTAAAGAATCGACTCGTTCGAACGAACCTATTCGGTCAAATGAATCGTTCTCAAAGATGGTTTCCGCTCATTTTTACGCCCACAAGCAGTTCAACAGATCGCTGCCAGCACTAAACGCTCTGATTGGACAGAACGAGCAACTCGCAATGTGAACGGCCAATCAGAGGCGAGTGCGCTGAGCATCCTGGGACTTGTAGTTCGGATGCGTTTTATCCTTTTTTTCGTCCAAACGTTCTCATTCCGAGTTATTGTTTATTCTTTGACTAGCTGTTAACAATCATGCAAAAACACCACATCAGCTGTCTAAGTAAAACACTACTTCAAGACTAACGAAATTACCGATTTTGATAAATGAATACATGTAAATCAATCATTTTGACAATAAACAATTTTATTACCACAAAAATAAGTAATATGTAAATGACAACAGTACAGTAATTAATAAAAGAACGCAGGTTATACATGCATCAACATAATAAATAGTCAAGCAAATGCTTGTGTCATAATGGATTCATTTGCTTAAGTGGTCGTCATGCACGAACTGTTATACAACACTACAATACAAACCTCTGTTTTAAAGACCCATGTGTCTATTTCTAAGAAGGTGAAACCCTGAACAACACAAAGATCCATTCAGTGCGACATTGTAGGAATGTGCATCTGCATACTAATGATCTATAGCGGTTAGTATGTGTAGACAAAAACACATTAAATATTAAAATAAAAAACGTTACGCATGCAAACATCAACACTTCGTGTTATTTTTTATTTTGAACTGTTGATGTCATTATTATTAAATCGTGACGTGAGCAGCGTACGCAGCGTGACGTCACGGCCGGCGCAGTATTTAATTAGTGCAAGCTTCACGAGTAATTAGCGCGCGCGGATCAGCGGTGCGACGCAGCATGCCTCCACCGGAGAAAACCCAGCATCCCAAACCTTTCAAGCAGAGGAAGAGTTTAGGTATGTGTCTTTATATCGCTCACGAGACTCTCTGATGACATGCTGTGAAATGCAAAAGTTGTCTTTACTTTTTTTTTGTAATATTGATCACCGATCAGCTACGAGGAAACAAGAGGTGGCGGGAATCCGAACCAAGTTTCCGACTAAAATCCCGGTAAGAAACGCCCGGTTCTGAGTTTAGTTCATCTCTTACCGGCTGTGTGCGTTAATTAGTGTGTATTTTAGGTGATAATCGAGAGATATCGGAGAGAGAAGTACCTGCCGCCGCTGGATAAGACCAAGTTCCTCGTGCCTCAGGAGCTCACTATGAGTCAGTTCGTGACCATCATCAGGTCTGTCTTCTAATCTGTGTGAAGAGGCTTCAGATAAATTGTCATCTGACTGTCTAAAGTAACGTTATTGCTCATTTTCTTAAAGGGGTGTAAAACAATGTAAAACTGATTTTTGTACAAAAATTTTTTTTATTATTATTAATTTGACACTTTATGAATGTTAAACTTCACTAATATATGTGCAGTATTTTTAATATATGTGTGTATATACATACATGCATACATGCATACATGCATACATACATACACACACACACACACCATACTAGTTTAATTCATAAATTAAATGCAATTTAAAAATGTAAATGGTTTAAATTTAATTATTTTATATTTTATTTATTTTAAGTTTCATTCATAAAATGATTAAATGGAAGTGGAATTGTTTTTATGGCTGTGAAAATTTAATATAACATTTGTAGGTTTTTATATGCATTCGTTTTTACATTATTAAATTATACATTTAGTGATTATAATAAAATTAAACACTTTTATTGTATTAAGGTTCTATGATTGTGACACTTAATATGAAAAAATCTATACATGTAGTGTAGCTTTTCACATTCATAAAAATAAATATGAATAGTTAAATTATAACACAAATATAAGTTTTATTGTATTCTATGCATGTTAAAATTAATATATAAAAATCATGTGTAGATTTTAATATAATTTCATATTCATGGGATGTCATAAATTATTAGTGCATATAATTTATGAATGAAACTTAAATATTTTCATGTTCATAAAATAAATATGAATACAATTAAATTATAACAAAATAAAATTATTGTATTCAATGAATGTGGAACATGTTTTAATCATTCGCATTTTTTAAATATAATTTCACATTCATAGAATGTCATAATATTAGTGCGTATAATTTCTGGATGTGACTCTTTTTATAGATCTGCGCTATATATGCATGCAGAATTAGTAGATGTAGCATATAATACTGGTTCTGTGTACTTCATGCATTTCTTGTACTGCACTAGTATTCGTAGTAAGCTCCGGTGAACAGCCCTGAGACTCTGCCGAGGTGCTCGAGGCGTCAGCTGATGGTCACCTGGCTGGATTTAAGCGCTTTCTCACGCTGTGGCTTTTCCTCATGTCTGATCTGGTTTCTCAGGAATCGAATGACCCTGATGCCCACTCAAGCTTTCTACCTGCTGATCAATAACTCTGGCATCGCCAGCATGTCTCTGACCATGGCTCAGCTCTATAAAGACCATAGAGATGAAGACGGCTTCCTCTACATGACGTACGCCTCACAGGAGATGTTCGGACACTGTAATAATAACCGGTGACGTCGTTTGGGGGGGGTGTAAGAGGTCTTATTTACTTCACTGAACTGTGATTAAATATTTAAGTCTTTGTATATAATGTTAGCGTTTTAGATTTACTATTATTTTCTAATGTATGTTTTAATTGAGTAATAAAATGTCTTTAATTGGTGCATCGGTCACTAGAGAGAGACGTCTGTTCATTCATGTGCTGCAGAAGCGTCCTCAAAATATGCCCGACTAATAAAACTGAATGTCAATCATTTATTGGTTAATCATGTGGTGATAGAAAATAAAGGATATTGTTTGTTTGATGCTGCACACCGTTGCATTTGGGTTTCTTATTTGATTTTCCAAGGTTTTGTCTTTAATTTGCTGTTGAAGCAAAGCAAGTTTATTTATAAACTATTTCATTGCCTTTTAAAGAAAAATGAACTTTTAAATGCATCTTCTATAATACTGTCAGGGTTTTTTTTTTTTTTTTTGCATCAATTGTAGGTGGTGCAAAAGTGTTTTTCAAAGTGTAAAACTGAATGCTTAAAGATTGGAAGCCTACTTATGTGATTAACCCACTGTATTAATGACACTTTATGACCCATTTCTCAATACTTGCTTCAGTGTCAAAAATAATCGATGCACAACAGCATCCGTGTGAGCTAAACTGTGGATCATTTATCATTGCTTTGGCACA